TCAATCAAAATAGAATAAGCAGTTTTTTATTATACCAAAAAATATTGTAATACAAATTCCTTGGACTTCTCTTCCTCAAGGGATTTTCATCAACATTTTATTCTTCATTTTTCTTTCACAACGAAATCTGATTTTGAGTATGATGCCTAAATGAATACTCCAGCAACTTAATGCCCAATATTGCTCATTATCTAAGTGTGCACTTTGCTATAAGCTCTCAAGAATTTTCTTCTTTTTTTTTATTCTATTATTTTTAATATGATGACTAACAAGCATGCAAAAGTAGAAGATTGAGAGTTTTACATCTGTCTTTAATCTTACATTATTTTCTTCCTTTTTAACTAGACGGGAATGTTAAAAGTAGCACATTCGACTCATCAGGAATATCAATTTATGCTCCTATTATCATAGAATCATAGAATGCTTAAGGTTGGAAGAGACCTCTAGAGATCATCTGGTCCAACCCCCCTGCACACGCAGGGTCACCTAGAGCACGTGGCACAGGACTGCGTCCAAGCGGGTTTTGAAGATCTCCAGAGAAGGAGACTCCACAGCCTCTCTGGGCAGCCTGTTCCAGTGCTCTGTCACCCTCACTGTTAAGAAATTTTTCCTTAAGTTCCTGTGGAACTTTTGGTGCTTCAGTTTGTGGCCATTACCTCTAGTTCTAGTTTATTTTTTATTGGAGTGTAGAAGTGTTTTATATTTGCCACTATTTTATAATTTTGGAAGTGCCAGTCTGTAATTTCCATAAAGTTCATAGGGATTCATAGCCACTAACACATTTCAGAATGAGAACCTCTACAGTGGATATATTCTATTCTAAATAAGGGATTTTGTATACTTTCTTATCTTTTTCATGTTTCTGCAATTCATAGGAACAGCAGCAAGCTTACCACAGAAATGGAGGTGCAGCATGACAGGAAAATAAGTAAAACTGGAGAAAGAACCAGTCTTTCTCTCTGTTTCTGTCTTACTTCCTTCCCTTTCTCCTCTCTCTCTCTCTCTCTCTCTCCTTTTTCTCTTCTATTTCCATTACCTCTGTCACCTTTTTCCTTTCTCTCCCACCACCCCTTTTCCTTTTTTAACAAAGCATGCTGCAGTCTCATCAAGACATACTTCTTCCCTACATAAACAATTCTGTCTTATTTGAATAAAGCTGGAATATCCACCCACCGTTCTCAGGAGTCTTGATAGTTTTGCAGCACATTCTAGAGGATACAAGGATGTTCACATTTTGATAATGCAGGAGCATGTTCAGTGCAGCATTTAAATCATGCTAAGGGTTTAGAAACTTTTTTTTTAACAATAAAATATACACACATAGCAACATCTTGCTGAATATGATACTATATGATACTTGCCCTGGCTGACTATGGATGCTGATAGTCGGAAAGCAGCTTGAATTACATTGCAAATCCATGGAATGTTTTACATACCCTGAAAGCAGAGCTTTGCTTTCAAAAGCAGCAAAAGCCACAAAAGCTGAATATTACTCAGTCTCCCAAGACCTCAATCAGATCTGAACATCTCATATAAGTTTACTTAATTTTTTGTCACATTTCTGTAATCCATTCCCCTGAGCTCACTGCCTTCAGATAGAAGAATACATGATTTTTATTGTGGTAATTATAAAGACTAAGATGTTCATCCACTATGCAGAAGGCAAACACAGAAATGAAATATAGTAAGGGCACATTATATCCCATTATAAGTTATTTTAAATTATTTATTACTTTAATAGTTAAAGCAATAGCTTGAAAAATATCTCTGCATAACGCCTGAATTCAGCTTTTTTCTTTTTTTTTTTTTTTTTTTGGAAAGTTGTAGGAAAACTGGTTAGCAATTGTTTCAGAGAACAACTATCGAAAGGAATAGAGAGTTGCTTCACTTCTGTTAGCAAAGTCTCCAAGCTATTTTGTTGAGAAATGTTTAGGTTCCCAAATTCTGTAAAGAATTAAAATGTGATTAAAATGTGGATGATGAGCCAGAAGGATTGATTATTACATGCATCTAAAACTCTCTACGTAAATGTGCTGTGCAGTATTTGTGACTGAAAGCAGTGTTCGCTGAGGCTTCTGTCTGCATTCAGCAAGCAACCAGAAGGAGGACAGCTGGTTGCGGAAACTTTCTCTGTCCCCAGGCTACAATATCTGAGCAGGCCTTTCCCTCTAGCTTTCCTGGGTGTTTCACAGGAGATAAAGGCACTTGTAATGCCTGGTACACTTCGGGAAGAGCATATCTTGGGAACCTTCTCAATGCTATTCTATTGCTCTTACTGCATAGTAATATTGTTTACTACCACCTTATGTTGGAGAAAGTAGACAATAATGAGAAATTACATTTGTCTGAGGATAATAAATGTGCTTAGTGGGAATAAAATCACTGAGACAATAAACTACATGTGCCTGAGGTTGTAAAGAACCTGTGCTCGATTGAAAAAAAATCAGTAGAGTCTCATCTTCAGCATGAAGTAGAGCCCTCAAATGCTAAATCTAATAAGTTACATTCCCCTTCTTCCCCATTTTTATTTTATTTTCCACTTGTGCCTGATCAAGTACTTTTTACTCTTTTCACAACCCCATCAGGATTCCTGACTATTTCTCAAAATGGCAAATACATTTTTTTTTTCTGCATTATGGGCGGCAGAATAAGTATCTACAATTTTAATTCTCCTATTATATTGGTACACAAAAATCAGTAGTGATCTCCTATCTTTGTGATAATTTTAATCAAGAAGAATTTAACAGATTCTTTTAAAATCATTTATAATTCCCGATCAGTTCTTTTTATTCAGTCTCTTGGTGAGCACTTCTTTCATGTGAAAACTCTGATTAGCAGAGTTTGTCCTATATTTAAATTGAAATATTTTGTCCAGTATCACTGTTTGCCAACTGTGCCTTTTTAACAAATCCAAATAGATTTTTGATTTCTACTGAGCCAGGTACACCTTTTTCAATACAAAATATATTTAGTTTACCCTGAGGATTCTGCCAAGCAGAAGCAAAGAAACAGGGCTAATCTAATTTGCAGATTTTCCTTGAACAAAGTTATCCTGGCTTGCCAATCTTATTCAGAAGTTGATTTCCAGTAATGAAATCACAGTATTATTTATTGTGTATCAACACCTGAGATAGTTGTGTACTGTCCTTGGGGGTGTATACCCAGCATTTTGATAATACTTTACTGTCACAGGAGGCAGTAAAAATCTATCATACAACAGAGATATGTAAAATACTTGTTAAAAATAATATAGGTATCTGTCACTATAGCATAAAAAGATAGCTGTTATTTACGGCACAGTATGTTCAAGTATCAGTATGTTTACAAGGACACCTGTCTCATTATTTTAGCTTCTGAGGGAATCAAGCTAAGCATCTCAAAGAAAAAAGTCAATAAAATAAAGCCATTGGAAAGAAACAAAAAGATATTTATCTCTGGGAGTGCTTAATCACAAGAGAATTGAAAATATAATAGTAATAGACATTGGAAAAAAAATCTCATGATGGAAAAGTAAATCTCTCAAGTGCCAAATATCTTTGGGGGAACACTGTAAATCTGCACAAGATGAAAAGCAGTTTCAGTTTACTTGTGGTAGTTAAAAAAGGTTGTAGGTTATAGTACATAAAGACGACCTCTATCGTCCTGCTCCAATTTCAGAATACCTGTGGTAACTCCAGGTTTCTGCTCCCTGAAAGATAAAAGGTACCATATAAATGCATTATACTTTTTATGGCTGAATTTGTTGTGGATCGATATCTTCATTTCCCAAAAGCGTGTCTTAGCAAGCTTGGCCTGATCCTGAAGTCATTACTCATGTGAGTAACTCTCCTTCTCCTGATTTTTTACAGTAATTTCAATCACTGATTTCTTGAGTATGACCTAGGCAGCTAAAGTATCACAAAATAAAATGTCATAAATAGTAGTTAACAGTTTAAGACATTCATTATTAGTAGCAAAACTACTTCTGTCAGGTAAATCCATAGCCTTTGATCCCAAATTAGTGTGATTATTAGCTTTTCCTGAATAGTAATCTTGAATCCCAGACATATCATTTGAGGTAACTTCTTTGTTTTGAAGATGATCATAAAATATTATGATAGAAAAAAACAAAGGTCCAATTCTTTGGTTTCTTCTTAAAAGAAAGCAGATAGACTGTGTGTGATAAACTGTTATGTAACCTATGCCTTTAACTAAATTTCCTGTTGAAACCAAATATCTTCTCTTCAAACAAAAAACCCTCCCATATATCTGTGCAATGTACTTACCAATGCAGATCTCACATATAATATTATGTACATTAAACACATTTTCACACTGTATTTGCTGTATTTCTGCCAGAAAGTCACCCTATTTGTGGTTGGGGAAATTGGGAGAAAAGAAATCTGTAATTTGTGCACAAGTGATTAAATGCAAGTTGTATAAGTCAAGAAAGTTCAAAACCTATTTGAGAGTAAAAATCTGCCTTTTTGCTGATATAGGGCATGTCAATTACACATCCAGCCTTTATTTCTGTACATTGACCATAGTTTGACTTCTTTACCTCGGCTTCTGACTTGCATCTGTCCTACAAGTTTGATTGTTTGGCTCCTAAGAGGCTGCCAAAGTAGGCATCCTCCTAACCCCCTCCAGACCATGTCTTGGCACCACATGTGCCTGAGATGTATTTACTCGTTCAAATATTTTAAAATACATTGAATGTTTTTTTCTTGCATGTTGAATGTGTTTTCATTTTCCGACAATAAGGCAGCACAAAGAATGAAAACTAAAGTGACATATTCATTCTATTGAAAGAGGTAAGGTTATATGTCTTTTAAAAATAACACTTTCTAATTTTGCACTTTCCTTTAAAGAGATATATTTTCATTTAAATTCCCTTGTTGTTTGCTGGCCATTCTTTTCTGTGTTTAGTTTTCTGTGTGTAGCCTTGAATATAATTCCTTTTTTTTTTTTTTTTTCTCTCTCTCTCTCTCTCCTCTTCTTTCTCTTTCCTCCTCTTTCAGGAACTTGAATTTCAGGATCTGACAGCAGTTTTACACTGTATTCACTCCTTTATAGCAGCAAAAGTCGCAGCTGTGGATCCAGTCTTTATGGACAGCCAGAGTATTGCAAGGAAATATATGTACAGTAACTGAAATCAGATTATTTGTTGTGATTATGGAAAATAAATTATTTTCTTAAAGAAAGTAGCTATTTCATGCACAATATTGCAAGTTTGTGATTTTATAAAAAGCGTATAGGTGTGTTATCTGTATTGCCAACGGTTTTCACACTGTTCACTGCTGTTGAATCTGATGAGTTAACAAACTGAATCAGTTTGTTGTCTTCTGAATTAATCTAAAGCTCAGAGCAAATATTTATTGGATAATATTGTGGTGTCATTTCTGTTCTCATGTCATATATACTCCATATGCTGCATATGAAATATCAACCACCATTTGCAAAGTTTGTGGCCAAAATTTGAAGCTTCAGTCTATTTTGAAAAGTTGGAGACACGCAGTATATATTGACAAAAATCAGAATGCGAATTTTATCTATTTTGTTTTATTATATTTGAAAAAAAAATAGTTCCTTTATCCATTTTTTTTAAGGCCTGAGAATTATCTCTGGCAAAGCATAAGTTCTCCATTTCTGTTTGAGGAAAGCATTTAAGCATTCGCTTGATTCTAATCATATGAAGTAATCCCAAAAATGCACAAGATATTGTTAATTGTGTATTAAAATGTCTTGTTATATCAGCTGAAAGGCTTTGGGCCGTGTGTAGGATCACAACCTAAGGACTCTAATAGTAGGCATTCTCCTTTAGAAAAGTTGACATCAGTTTTTCTTTTTATTGATACAGCTTTCACAGATCATTCATTCATTCATTCATAAACTGAATTGACAGTATCCTCTATGGGTGATTGTGAACAGCTTCTTTAATAATTGTTTTGTTTAGAGGGAGGTGCTGTAGGTGTTGGGTAAACATAACTAGACACAAAGATTTTGCTGGCCCATCCATCTACCATTTTTTCCCTATAACTCTTATCTTGACTCAGTATGCTTATACACAAGCTAAGTGAGGTTTCTATACTAATACTCCGTTCTAAAATTGCGTGCTTATATGCACAGATAATGTTTCCTTTTGAAAAATTATAAAAGAAAGGCATTTTGTTTTTGCTGGGTAGTCCCCTATCATCCCCCCAATATCAAATGTTCCAGATTTCTGTGATAAAAGTCACACTTATTCGCTAGTGCAACTTTGAGGTAACAACCAAAATGCAAGACCATACAAGAGTGTATATGGATATTTCATTGTAGTGTATGTGGATTCCACTCATCAGCTTTCCAGACTCTAGGAATCAGATGAGCTGTCCAAAAGCAAAAGCCTAAATTTGACTCTTTCTTAAGGAAAGGAGGGCTTTAAAAGCTCTTGGGTGAGGCTTCTGTTATTGTAATTTAGGTGCTTATAGCTGGCCAGAGATGGTTGCCTCTTGAGATCTTAAAACAGATAGTTCTCTTGGCAGACTGCAAAAGGGCCTTCGGCACTTACCTTGAAAGGATTCTTTTCTGTCCACCTAAAACTTAGGCAGAAGTAAAATCTCGGAACCAGGCTATTTGATCCTACCATAGGATTGCCTATATCTGTTTGGTATTTGTAGAGGAATTAATTTTAACTGTGGGAATTAATTAGAACTGTTTACAGTTCTAATGTTTTGCAAGAAGACATAGTTGGTGAATTAAGTTCTGTTAAAATTATATTTAACAAAAGTGATAAACTTTAAATTAAACAGTAAATAAAATTAATGTTATATATTTGTAGGCAATTATATTTTTAAGCTACCTAATTTTTTTCAAAAATACAGCATTAATTATGTTTCAGAACATGTTTTTATGCTCATTTCTGCTCTTTGTATTCACTGAGCTTATAAGATTCATAAATTATAGCAATAAAATCAGAATAGGTTTCTTACCATCAATTTTCAGTTGTTAGCATGAACAGTTATAAATGATAACAAAGCTATGGAAAAGTGATGGAATTCCTTCTCTACTTCATTGTACTGCTGTAATACCCTAAATGAAGCTAATAATAACATGAAATTAGTGAAAGGCCGCAGAAAATAATACCAGTTACTGAGTTCTGCAATTCAGAACTTTCTTCATTTAGAAGAAATTCAGAAAAGTTATTCAGGATGAAGATTATTAAAAATGTAGAAAGTTCATGCAAATAGAATGAACAAGACAAAAAGAAGCTAATTGCATATAAAAGTTATGATTAAGACTGCTCTAGATTTTAATAGCCATAACTTTAGGGGGCCATAAAAATAAAATCTTTGGCAAAGAAAAATTCTTAATTTTCTTGTAACCATAAAGATATCTCTCATCCTTTATTGTAACTATTCTTTCTGGTGCCCACCCTTTCTTCTTCCTTGGAACATGCTGATTACATTTGATAGCACATGCATTTTCTTGCAAATTATTTCTCAGTTTCTCTTTTTAAATTTTTCTCAGTCTGTTATATTTATACAAAAGTTCTACTGAGCCCTTACCTTTCTCCTACTCATAACTCTGTTTTCCTTGTTACTGTTTCTCTTAGAACAGTTTTGTGAATACTCAAAGAGAATAAATCAAAGTATTTTTTTTTTACAAAAGCAACTGGATATTTCTCCTGGAATTACTAAATTTTGGTGAGCTAAGTTCTTTTCCTTTTTCTCAAGACTGTAGTTTTCTTCTAATTTGTGTAAATCAGTCTCTGTAAGAATGTTATAAGGTAATTTAAGCTCAAAGACTAAAAGTAATTACACTTGCAAAAATGACTTTGAGCAAATGATTGTTCCGACAATTTGAATGAGAGCAAACCCATCAGTGACTTTAAACTAAGCAGTGCTATGACAGGCTTGGGCACTGGCCTCGAATCATGCTATTAATTTATTAGAACAATTTCTGGCATCTATGGTCTCTGCTAATCAGAATTTGCAGAAAAAATGCCTGAATGCAATTTATGAGCTAAAGCCATCTCAGGTGTATTATCTGTAAATGATTTTGTTGTGCTATGCTGTTTGAAACATAAGAGAGTTTAGTAACATAGATATGGCCAAACCATGCCAGATGGCATCAGCGATAGAAAACTGACCCTGACAATTTTAGTTTATGAATTTAGACAGAGTTTCAGATTATTGCTTCAGCCATTGTATATGACCTGTATAATGTATTTTGCTTATAATTGTAAAGCACAGAATTACAGTATCGAAGCTGTGCTGATCCATCCAAAACTCAAATTCTGCAAGTCTGACTTAATTTTCTTTCAGAAGAAAAAGAGTAATTCTTTCTAATTTGTACTCTTGTGCCACTAGGCCTGAGGCATAAACAAGACTTTTTTTTTTTTTTTGGAAGGACTAAACTCTGCCTAACTTTACAATCCTAAATCTAAAGTCATGTTTTATATCTAGACTAGATTAATTCATAGCTTCAGACAGGGAAAGCCTTTTTTAATGTGTAGTCTGATCTTTTCAGTGCTATAAACAGTATTTAGAAATGCCTGAATTCCTTTTTAAACATATTTCCATACATTCATCTACTGTCAGGATTTTGGTACACCCCATCCCCACCTGAGTATCTTCTCCATGTCAGTGTTCAAAGTAGAGTATGTTTAATGGCAGTGCACTTTTTGGTGCTGTAAACATGTTAAAAGCTTCTCAACACACAGCATATGATGTTAAGAGGAAAGAATCCCTCCCTCTGCAGGAGGAGAGAAGTGAACCTGCATGCTGAGATCTGCTTGAACAGCCATCACCATGACCTTCCCTTCACTGAGCGTGGTGGCCCTGACCTGCCTGGGCAAAAAAGACATATGGCAATATGCTAATGCAACAGATAACGTAGGTATTTTCTGTGTCAATGTGAACTCCTGTGGTTAATTTTACTTTGAGGTAGTCAGCCTATGTGCTCTGATATGCTTCTGCGGACAGAGAGGATGGACCTTAGCACAGGATGTCTTCTTCATGCTTCCCTAGTGGGGCAGAGAATGGTGAGAGCAGTGCAGAGCAATTTGGGCTTAGCAGGGAAGCCCCTACAGTCATCCAGACTAAATGTATCACTCTTGCCACCGCATAGAGACATTCTTTTAGTGTAGGTCTGTTACTTCAAATTGCTACTCATTGTGTTATGGCTGATAAGAGGGAAATTATTACGAAGAAAATCATGTAAAATGCATCACATAATCCTGTATCTAATTTTTTAACACAGGGTTCAAAAACGTTTTGGTTCTGCCTTGCTGAAGCATGTAGAGAATAGATTATCTTCTATAAAGTAAAAGAACTTGTAATAAATTTATTAAAATGTATGAAGAGCATTTGTGTAGCATGCAAGATGAAATTGAAGATGCATCTTAATCTGGTTCAACTAGAACAACTCCACAAGAAAAATCTTTTCATTACGTTTGAAATTATTAAATTCCAGGGACTTCAGCCAAAATCCATTGCTGTTGATTAACAGACTCCCAATGACTTAAAATGATACTTAGACAGAAAAATGACAGAAACGAATACAATTTAAAATAATCCAGAGGAGGGGAAAAAAGGTTTTCTTTTCTAATACTCCCTTGGTGCACAGCTGCTAACATTGTCTGTAAGAGGATTTATTCCTACAGAAAATATACTGACTTCTCAGTAAGAAATCAAAATCAAACTATTTTGACTGAAAGCTGTGTTTTTTATTTGGAAAAGCTAGCATAGTGCCTCATAGGAGCTGCAGGTACCTCTAGTCTTCCCTTTAGGTAGTCTTCTCTCTAGGTAGTCTTCCCATTAGGTGATTTAGCTCACACAGTATATCAGTCACCCTTTTCAGTGAAGAAACATGGTGTAAATCCGCACTGCTTGGAGAACTGCGAGTGGCAGTAGGTCTCACCTTCACTGGGGCCTCAGAAGACAAGGCAGGAGCCTTCTACTCTTATGAAACACTACAGTAATAATCTCTAGTGAAAACATTGCTCTTTCTTTTTGGCTCAGATTTCCAAGAGTCAAAAACTTCTATGGCATTTGAGTGGGAAAGGACAGAATCCTGTTAATGTGATATTTTTAAATTATTTTTTAACCAGGATTTTTTTTTTCACTAAAAAGCAGATTTACAAGAATGTTTATTCAAAAAGATATGTAATTCTCATATATCTAACATTATTTTTAGCGCTGTTACAGCTGTGAGAGCACTTCATTCTTCCCTCTTAGAGTTCACCCTTAATTGATCA